TAGACTTTCAAACCTGGAAGACACCATTGTAGCTAGTGAAAAGGTAAGAAAAGATCTCTTAAAAACAACTAGGATGCAGGAAAAAATAATTCAACATCTGCAAGATGATGTAAAGATGAACAACCTAAGACTAATAGGCATCAATGAGAAAGGAGTCAGTACAAATGATAAAAAAGAACATGGGCATAAGTAATAGCAGAAAACTTCCCAAATATGGGGAAACAATTGGACAATCAGGCAACCGAAGTATACAGAACTCCACATAACATCAACCCAATTAAAAACACCCACACATAAAATAATCAAGATCCCAGAAATTCAGCACAGGAACAGTATACTAAAAGCTGCTACAGCAAAGAAACAGATCACATTTAAAGCAGCAGATTTCTCTTCATAAACCATAAAATGAAGAAGAGCACGAAGCAAAAGTACATCAAGTCTTGCAAGAAAACAAATTCCAACCCAGACTGATAACACCCTGCAAAACTCAAGTATAATGGAGAAATGAAATACTTCTATGACAAAGAACTGAAGAATTTCAAGACAACAAAGCCAACCCTAAACAGACTACTAAAAGATATTCCTAGAGGGATCAAAATGACAACTCCATGAATTGAGAATGGAACAAACCTACCAAATAGGGCAAACAAACACAGGAGTAAAAGATACGTTAACAGCAGTCTTTCAGTTATTCTTTTGTATACAGCAGCCAAATATTTCCATCAGCATACCCTACAAATGGACTTCTCCTGCACCCTATGGGTCATGATTCTGTCTGGGTCTATAGGGTGGATATCAAGGAAATAGCAGCAGCTCACTACCAGAAGTAACACCCGGCCACCAGTAAATATCATGGACACTATCTACGTTCAACACACACTAGAACTTTGTGCCATATCCTATCCCCAGACTTAGAAGTGCTGGTCATATATTTGCCATTCCAGTATTTTTGTTATGTTTTATTCTTCGTAATTCTTTACTATCATGGTAACTTTTTCTTGGTTGATATTTTTGTATGTATCAACCTAATCAAATACTATGTGAGTACTCTGAATTGATCACAGATTCATACATATTACCCTCTGGCCTCTTAGTTGGAATATTTAATTTTCATTTTTGAATATTATTTTGAAATATTTAATTTTGAATTAATTTTCTGAATATTGTTTAATCTTAATTTTTGTTTTATGATTTATACTGTTTCTTTGACTTACAATCTACTTATAAGACATATTTTCTCCTAGTATTAGAAACTCTAAAAAGTATATTTCCATATTCCATGTATCAGTTTTTGTCTTTTACACACACACACGAAAAATTATGTATATAACGTGACAAAAGATTGACTTTTGTAGAAATCTTCAGTGACCTTTTAAATGGGTTTGTATAATAAAATTATATTTTACATAGTCCTGCATAACTACCATTTTGAGAGCTCTTTATTCTTTATCCAGGACCATACAGAAACTTCTCTTGCCTTTTGGATTATGCTGTTTGTTATTTTCTATATGCTACATCTGGAGGTATTAGAATGTTTCCAATCTGTATAACTGCAAAGTATTTTACTTTCAGTTTTCAAAGGTATGTTTGTTAAGTATAAAATTCTATAAGGACATTTTTTTTCAGTCCTTTGAATAAATAAGTTTAGCTTCTTATCTACTTGTCCTTTTTCTTCTTCTAATGTTGAATAAGATACTATTTAATTTTGTTCTTATATAGCTAATATTTTTTCTATGTATATGCTTTAATAATTTTTTTCTTTATAGTGAGTTTTGGATAATTTCATTTTTATTATCTTGGTATGATTTTATATTTCTTGTGTAAAAGGTTCATTTTTCTTGGAAATGTGGTGCTATAATTTTAACTAAATTCAGAAATTTTAAATCTTTAAGTATTTATTGCCTACCTCATTCTACTTTGAGTATTCTAATTATATGAATATAATTTTTTTGATTTTGGCACAGAGTGATCTACTATATGACTGATCTGTTAACTCTTCATATTATTTTAAGCAATTTTTATTTTTATATTCATTTAAGTTTGTAAATAATTTTTTACAATGCGTAATTTATTATTAGTCTCATGCCATGTATTCATTTCAGAAATATTTTTCTAAAATTCAAAAATAAAATAAAAATTAAAAAAAAATACCATGATGGTATTATGATGAAGTTAAATGAGTTAATGTTTATACTGTTTTCTTTCTTCTACTAACTTTACATTCTACCTAAAATGAACTATGTAGCTTTCTCAGAATATATCCAGTATTTCCTATGTCCTGCTTCTCTTGTGCCACTCTCTCGGCATAGAATGCTTTAATCTATTTTTCTTTTCAGTGTGAGAGACTAAACCCAGGACCTTCACAGAACTAAACCCCCAAATCTTTTTTCATTTTTTATTTTGAGACAGTCTAAGCTGTTAACCTGCTCAGAACGGACTTCCATTTATCACCTTCCTGCCTCAGACTCCTAGAGTACTGTGATTATAGGCTTGTGCCACCATATCCAGCTTCATCTATTTTTAGAAATGATTCTCCCACTGATCCTCTGGCTCAAATACCACATCTTCAGTGGCATCTTCCCCTAAGAAAACTTTTGGGAGGATTTTACAATTCTTGGACCAACTTACCACTGGCTTTGTCTTTCCCAGTAGAAACACAAGTCCCTCATGCGAAGGGCAATATTGTGCTTACAATTATGACTAGGACAGCTGGATGTGGTAGTATGTGCCTGTAATCTCAGCACTTGGAAAGCTGAGGCAGGAGGATTGTTGGGAGCTTGAGGGCAGCCTTGGGTATATGGTGAGTTCAGGGCCAGCCTGAATTATAATGAGATTCCATCTCAACCTCTACCCTCAAAATGCCTGAAAGAATACTCAGGTATGGGATGGGGGACCAGGAGCAGGGTAGAGAAGAGAGGAAGCTAACATTTATGGAGAAGTTACCATGTTGTTGAGTATCTAATATTAGGACTTATATATACATCACTTATTTCTTACAAAAGTCTTTTCAGGGAGGACAAGCTATACATCATAAATTTAAAGAAAAGATTCTCTGAAGCAGCTGTTCTTGGTACTACAAGTCTCCTCATTCCATCTTACAACACATTTAGGACATTTCTGTGCATGCATGAATACAAATACACCATAACATTCACTGTCTATGTTCTTTTTAGGACCCAGTATTTTAGCAGAAATAACACTTCCTTATTTGCAATTCAGTATGATCTAACATTTAGAACAGTATTTTAATTGTTGTATCAGAATACCATTCAGTAAGTATTTAATGAAATTACTGGACATACTTCTTGCCACTGGCATATATTCTTAACTAGAGATGAAAAGGCAAAGCTAGAGAATAAAACTCTTAGTGGAAGGCTAATAAGCATTTCACTAATTACTAGCCTTCCACTGTGCTGTACACTGGCCAAGTTTTAGACACAACTGAATTTGGGAATGAAGATATACATATGACAATGCATGAAGCAAGTATAACATACAAGGCATTAAGACACACAAATGTATACCAACAAAAAATTTTTATGGAGCTGCATGAAAGGTCAGTTACCTCAAACGTTTGTCCTTCTAAATCCTTTGCATCACACCAGTTTCCCCATGGGTCCCTGACCCTCCGCCTCCTAGTACGCTGTGATGAGAATAAAAAGCAACAGGGAGAAATCACAGCCCATTCATATTCAAAACAAAAGCCATAATTACCTAAAAAGTATGAACCCATGTAAGTATTGTGATCACTCAGTGACTTGCTAAGCTTTATCTGTTCATTCAGGTCTGATAGTCAGTACTCTCCTCAGCAATGCACCTTCCTGGCCAGTTCAGGGTGAGAAACCTTGTGTAAGTGAGCAGGTTTGGGCTACTGGGGGCAGAAGTGCTGCTGACTTTCTGCATTTTACTTCCATTTCTTCAATTTTCATTTCTAGTCACCATTTGGAAGCTCAAACACTCAAGACAAACATGTCTTTAACAAATAATTTAACGACAAAGAAAATGGCTTTAAATGACATGTATTAGAAGAAATGAAAACCAGAAGCAAAATAATTACATGTTAGCTTTTTAAAAGTTCAGCAAGTTAACACACAGAAAAGTTATAAAAGTTGTGTGTAATATGAATGTCCAGTTGTGAAAACTTCACTACGGAGGCCTTTGAAGTGGACCAGGCTGCTAAAGGGCAGTGTATGACCTGGCACCACCTCTAGCTAATCTATTTTAAAGGTTTTATAGCTTGTTTGGCCTCATAAACCTATATGAAACTGAAGAGAAGGCAGAGAAGTGATAGCTGAGATGAAGTACAAGAGAAAACACATTCATTAAGTGGCAAAGCAGGCATTCCTTCTCCACAGGGAAGAGCATGGCTGCTTACCATAGACTGCAGGCGCTGAGCAAGCTGGTATGCCTCTACAGCATCTCTTCTGTCTCTGACTCGAACTTTATCAACTGGTTGTGGTCTATTATACACAGCCTGTTCTATTGGGATTTAAGGAAGACAAAACACTCTATTACTGTTTTTTTTAATGTATTTGGTACAGGGTCTCACTACAGATTGGACTTGAAGTGATCCTCCTGTTTACAGCCTCCCAAGTGCTCAGATTATAGGTGTGAGCCACCATGCCGTCTCAATCCCTGTTTCAGCGTGCCCTGGGGGTGGGGCTGACACGGAAGGCCAGGGATCGGGACCCCGATCAGAGCCTGCCTTAGCAGGCACTTTAGTCCGCTGAGCTATCTGGCCAGCCCAAAACACTTTACTACTGTATGAAAATCACTGTTAAATAGGAAGACATATCTATATTAACTGTAGCTGAGATCTTATGATGCTTATTCCACAATCCTTTACATGATACACTACTCAGCAGCTCTCAAATTAATGCTATTATTATAAGAACAATAAAAAAGGATTATTTAAGAAGTGAGAAATTTGTTTAATTTCTTACTAAACAAGTGCTGAATGCACTTTGCTAACTTTGGCAGTTTAATACAGAAAACATGATTTCACTTTCTATTAGTAACTGAAAAGAGAGCTAAAACCTTTTCATTTTCCTGAAAAGCTATTCTCAACATATGGAACACATGGCTTTGGGCAAATGAAACCACTAATGTGCAGGAACAAGGTAGAATGTAAATTCTCTCTATATGAAATAGTGCTCTGATTAGTCATCTCACCTATATACACTCAAAAAGTGTACTGCTCTGAAACTGTGGGTGGTAAGACTCTACCTACCTATCACTATGCAAAAGCTTTTTACAAAAAAGATTAAATTCAATAAATAGGCAGAATATACTTTTGTTTGTTTTCTGATAGCGTCAGGATACCTTCCAGGAAGCTCTGGTTTGGCTTCAGGGTCTGGGGATCGAACCACAGCATCCTGAACCTTACTGCTTTGTTTCAGCAGGCACTTAAACCACTCACCTAATGGGCAGGCCCCTAGCAGAATATACTTTGAAATGTTTATCTTCATTAAGTTTAACTTTGAAAAAAACTAGAATGAAAGAGGCTTACATTAAAATATTTTGGTGTTTTTATAGTATTTACATATAAAAGCCATAAATTATTTCCTTTAATCACTGCTACACAGCATTTCTAGCACAACTACACAACAGGTTAAATAATCCACATCTGAAATTCTTGGGACTCGGAGTAGTTCAGATTTGGGATTTATCTGGATTTTAGAATACCTGTGTAAAAATAAAAATATTCCCAATATCTGAAACTTTTTAAGTGCTATGTTGGCTTCAACTTTTCTGGGGTTTGAGACATGGGCATACCACAAAGTTTAGGGTTCAACGTGAGCTTGTAAATTAAATTACTAGACTTTCAACACAATTATTTTATCAGAGAAATATATTCCTAAATTACGTCTATTACTTCGATCAAGTATTTTTCCATAAAAAGCAGATAATTCTATTTTCACTGCAGGTCAAAGGGAAAGAAGTTTCAACAGAAATCTGTTTTGCAGCAAAATCTTTTTTTAAACATATGTGGTACAGGGTCTCACTACGCAGCTTGGACTCATAGTAATCCTCCTGTTTTCAGCCTCCCTGGGGCTGGGATTAAAGGCGTGTGTCATCATGGCTAGACTTGGTTGCCTGCTCAGTGCCCCCCAGGGGCGGGGGTAGGGGTTGCATGTGGTACCAGAGACTGAACCCAAACCCATTCCCTGCACTTGCCTAAGCAGGTGCTTAGTCTCTTTGGCTATCTCACCGGCCCTGCAGCAAAACCTTAACATATTTTCAGTACTGTTAGCATATCTCTATAAATCTATTTGAATTCTAAACGTAGGAGAAATTTATAGACAAAAATATGTTGGGTAGAAAATGTGCTTGTTTTTACCACATCCAAAATTGATCGCTCCTATCAACTCCAAGTATGTATGAATCCGTCCAATGCAGTTGACATCTCCACAGTTCTTCAGGCCAGGGCGTACTGAGGTCTTATTCAAGTATTTTGGTTTGCGTGTCTCCCTAATTAAGAGATAGAAGTACAATTACTCTGGATGAAGAAAATTATGGAAATAGATTTCTTGGAAAACTTCTAACACCTGAAGTATCTTAATATTTTATGTACTTATAATGTGTAAATGTGCAGTAAAAATAAGGATGATTATATTTTTAAGTATTTTTTTCAGAAATAAAATACCTTTGAAAGACACAGTAACCTGAAAATATAATCTATGATGTGGAGATACCCTAACTTTCAGAGAAGAGTTCAGATTTCAGTGTCTTGAAAAATTCCAAAGAATTTTGCACAAATGAAGACACCCATTGCACAAATGAAGACTCTAAGAAAGTAGTACCCACTGATTTCACCAACCTCAGTAAACCACCTAGGAGACCACTGCCACCTGCAGTACCTGTACAAATTATTTGGCTTCACTTAGAATCCAAAATTCAAAGTAACAGGACCTATGACACTAACACTGAGGTCACACTCAATTCATACAGATATTTCTCTGGGCAGTTTTGATTTTGAAAACCTTTAATTTTGGTTATTTATACTTTTATTTCAGACAGCTACCCAAATCTCTCATCTCAGAAACATTCTCTACTAAAAAGAAAATAGTATCTCCTGCATAATTCTAGGATTGTTGTGAAGAATTAAAATGTGATGATACAGTAGAGCTTTCTGCAAATTATGAAGTACTACGTAAATGCCAGGAGTTGTTCCTTGTAACTATAATATACACCATCTTTAGTCAGAAGTTGTGAGTTAACACTTTAACCAATGTAAGATGGCCCCGAGTGAAGAACACAAACAACCCCATTTTAAAATATGGTTCTCTTTAAAAGCCAAGAAACTTTATGTTGCCTATGTGGCCCCAGGGTCACTGAGTTAGTAAGTTGTTTTCCTAAACACTCCTAGGATATGGCAAAACACTACTGCAGTAAGACAGGAAGACCTCTGACACAACAGAACAGAAACAAAGCAAAACCCTGACCCAAGGAACTGAGAAGCTTTCTGTAAAGATGGCCCTACATAAGCCAACAATTCCTGGAATAGTAACAGCAATTAAGAATATTTAATAAGTTTAATAAGCTACAAAAAACTCAAATTACTTTCAAAGTACTTAGACTAACAAGGTGGAAAGTACTCTGGTTTGTTCCTCCTTCCCCACTAAGAAATTCAAAGAAAATATAGATAATTTAGACAACTACTGTATCCTGATGAAGGAATTATTAGCACACTATGCCATGAGTTCAAAGCATTTAGACATTTAGAAAAACTGGTTTCTGTAATCCAACTACATTTAACAATACTAGTCACTTAACATCAAATGTTTCCTTCTTTGTACTAAAGGTACATGATCAACCTGGAAGGAAATTCATTTTCCCACTACAGTAGTTTTTGACAAGACAACAAAACATATGGTGTGTTTTTAAATAAGAAACACACTGCTACAGACCCCTCTCAAACCCCTGCACTCAGCCAGAACACACTTAGTCTATCACTCTTGCCATTCTCTGGAGCAGTTATGAAATCCTTTCTCCTGAACACTGTAGGTACACTGTCAAAGCTGTCTGTGTCCTGAATGGACACAAAACCTTTACCTCCCATGGTCTTGTTGGCTTTGGGAAGAGTATGTCACACAGTGCCAGCCCAAGGAGTAAGGCAGCAAGGACACACCCTCATGTTTTCTCTCTGCTGGAAAGCTCTTAAGGTATTCTCTACCATACCTCATAGAACACTTCCAGACTATTTCAGAAAGTGTGCTGAAAAGGAGGGTTTTGAAAGGGATAATGGTAAAATATCTTACTAAATAAAATGTTTTTCAAAAATTTTAACACTTATCACATCTTTATCGATTATGTAACTTCCCAATATTATTGCTAAGAAACTTTTTTTGGGGAGTGTCTTTTTGAGACAGGGTTTCACCATGCAGTTCAGGCTGGGCTTAAATTCATTTTGTAGCCCAGGCTGGCCAGGAACTCATAGTGATCCACCTATCTCAGCCTCCCACATGCTGAAATTATAGGTGTGTGCTACCATGCCCTCTGTTGAGAAATTGGTTTTGTTTTTAATGTATTTGGTACAGGGTCTCACTACACAGTTTGGATTTATAGGGATCTTCCTATTTTCAGCCTCCCCAGCCCTGGGATTACAGGCATGCGCAACCATGCCCAGTCTCAATGGCTGGCTCAATGTGCCCAGGGGCGGGGCCGGCCTGGTCTGTGATGCCAGGGAATTGAGTTTCTGCCTTTGCCTAAGCAGGCGCTTAGCCCACTGAGCTATCTTGCTGGCCCAAGAAGTTGCTTCTTAAAGCAATTATTTATTGCCTTTGTTCCAGGCCCAAATGCTCCAAAGGACAGAGAGGTTTTGTTGCTTATCAGTTTTTTAAAAAGTGTCATTACGATAAAATTTAAAATGTGAAACGGTGATACATGAATGCTCTTGGGATTACTACAGCAAAATCCTAAAACCCAAACAGCCCAAATTAAAATACTGTAGGACATCCAGTTTTTAAAGTACCATCTAAAACAATTCTTACCATTGATCCAAAATGTAGTTTCTAATTTTCAAGTAGCGCTCTGGTGTCTTAGTTTGACGCCCCTCAAAAAATTCAGGAATTGCTTGTTTTTCTTCTTCTTGAATGACATTTCTATCTATTTCTACTTCCTGTTCTGGTGGCTTAAGCTCTTCTTCCTCGTGACTTTCCTCCACCATCTGGCAAGAACGAAAAACCACTTCAATACTACTTGTATCTTGCTGATTTTCACAAGGCTCTGAAGAAGGCAGTGCCCCGGCGCCATCTATTACTCTGTTTCCATCGTGCAGCGTATTACAATTCTGATCATTTAACTCAATTGAGTTTTTGCCATTCGTGCTCTGTTCTTCAGTCCACAGTGTATTTTCTGAGCCTGAATGTGTTTCCATTTCATCTTGCTTTATACTATGAAGATATTCCCTGGAAGATTCGGAAAAGGGACTTTCCTGGGGTACAAATCCTCTATGGCTGGTTTCACATGTTTTACTCTCCAATGAGAGACCACCGTTAGAATTCTTCTGTGGTGTTTGGGACGTCAACTCATCTACCTCATCTGTAATGTCTACTTCTTCATCATCAGACAAGTTTTCAATCTTTACAGCATTCAAGTTAGGATCAACACGTCCTCTTAGACATGAGAGTGTCTGGGCTGTGGCCCCTTTATCTTCATTTTCAACCCGATTTTCACTGCTGTTCTTTTCAATGGGTGTTTCTTTCTCAGGACCCCATTTTATCTTATTAAAAAATCAGAACAAAATTCCCAAAATATTAGATAAATTATTAAGCTAAGTACATGTTAACAGTAATTAAAACTGCATTTGCTTTTTAAACATAGGTTTAGAACTGCACTGAAATATAAAAGATCACCATTTTAAATTTCCATAAACATGTGCCTCACTCATCCTCCCATGTCTCATTAATCAAATAACCATAATCTATATAGAACTATCACTTTTAAAACATTTTTAAAATGGGGGTCTGACTCATATCAGTCATAGAAAACTAATGACTTTCATAGTAAAGTGCTCTATAAGATACTAATGTATCTACAAAAGCTTATTTTTCACAACATCTGATAACTTCATTTCTTATAATGGTGAAATAATCCTTTACTTGAATGACTCTATCGCATATATTTACTCAGTAAACCAAGATCATCTTTCATTTAAAAGCAAAATCCTTTTGGCAGGTTCCTTTAATGCAGCCTCAATACTGTACACTTTATATTTGCAGCCATGAAATTATCTTCCATATCTGCTATTCTGTATATATCTGGTAATGTAATAAGAGGATTAGAATCAATGAGTAAATATAACTTGAAATAAAAGTACCCATATTCAAAGTTTTGAAAGATCTCTAATGACTGATATCCCAAGGGACACGATAGCTCTCAGTAAGCGATCACAGATCCGTCATCACAATGAAGTCTCAGGATCATGTATCTGAAGTTACCTAGCTCACTATATAGAGAACAATGGGAAAAGGAATTTGTATATATTTGTAGTCTCTTGGTTTTAGTTTTGGTGGTGTGAGGATCAAGCCCAGAGACTTACGTATAGGTAAGCACTCTATCACTGAGCTATATCCCCTGTCTTTGTTTTTAATCTTAGAAATTCAGATCAGATTTTGTATTGGATTTCATACAACACTAATGTCTGTTCTAACACTGAGATGTACCTTTCTACCCAAGTCTTTTGAGTATAACTAACTCCTATATAAGCTACATGTTCTAATTGGAGAGGCATGGTGGTAAGAATAACCAAGTTGCTTAATACCTTAACTGGTGAGCTACTCTGAAATTGCTTTTGTTAGCCTGAAGGCCAGAGGGAGCAGATGACTGATGCAATGTGAATCCATCCTATTATGTTCCACTCATTACAGGCTAACACTAAGATAAATCTTGAACACAAGATAGAGCACATTATTTATAGGAAAACAAAACACTGAATTTTAGCTAAGACATTTCCAAATTTTACACAGTTATATTCAGAGTCAAAGCAGAACAACTTTAAAAATTCTAAGTATCAAAACTTTACAATTCAATACAACACAAATTACTTGAAAGGCTAATGAATTAGACCCTATCTACATCTTTCAGAATACAACTTAGTAAACTTTTCAGACAGTTCATAACAACTGTAAAATATCCATTGCTATTAAAATACATTTCAGAATCACCATCAGCATTTACATCCTCTAAGTACCAATTATTTTTTTTCAAAGTTTCTATAATGTAAGTATTTTCAAAAGAAAAGATATTTTCCAGAGAGAAACACTAAGACCTCCAGAATTTTCTCTTAGGGATATGATTCTCTTCAACTCATATCCCTGGGTAATTAATATTTTCCTTCTACTTAATAATAGAATACAGTATCTATTTAATAGCAACAGTTAAAACACTGAAGATAGCCATAAGGTATTAAAAAAATAAACATCTGCATGGTGTTTTACAATGTAAAATACTCTCTCACTATAAAAATATAAATTTTATGGAATGCCTACATTAAACAAGTACTGCTGCTTGCCTAATTTTTACAATTCCAAACAGTATCATTATCTCCTAGGGTATTTGTATCCTGCTTACCTTATTTTTAAAGTACTGTCTGGCATAATTCTTTACTTGAAAAACAGTGCGGCTTCCAATTAGCTTTGCAATTTTGGTCCACCTTCGACCAAATTTACTCTGTTATTAAAGTAAAAAAATTACTTGATTAGTCTACTTTAATTAATGGTTTAAAAGCAAACGACGCATTAAAAACATACTAATAACTCATTTAAAAATTATAGCTACCTAAATCTAAGATAAATCATTTGTTATCTAACTATATGAATTCCTGTTGTACATATTTCACATCTAGAATTTATTTTTAAGGAAATATATGCCTAAAACAGAGATTATATTTTCCATTTATAGGATCAAGTGAACCTATTCTACATGAATTACAAGATTTTTTGTGCCCAGATTCCATATTTTACAATGTCTAGTAAATGGCCCACATCAGATACTTCTATATATTAATCAAATGCGCACCCCAATAAGCTTTTACTCACTGACTAACATTCCCAGCCCTTGCTCAGCTTTTGACTCAAGTCTGCATCACTAAGTGGCTGAGTGTATGTTGAAAGCTGCACTCTTCGTACCTTAGCCTCTCAGAAGCTGGGCTAGGCTTACAGGTACCATTATGCCTGACTCAGAGCAATTTTTTAAAACTCAGTATTTCTGGGAAAACTATTAGTACCAATTATTTTTAAGATTAACAAGTAGCTAACATTAACTTAGTGAAGAATCAGGTCTATTTATAGGAAATAATTTGGCAGTGTGGAACACGTATGGAGACAGAGCACTGGATAAAGTGTAATTGTTTGGGAGAGTGGGGGCTGTACACTAAGAAAACTCAAGAAGGGACACTAAAAGAAGGGCAAAGAAAATATGTGCCAATTTCAACATGAAAAAGGACAGACCTATGTGAGACAAAAGGAAAGAAAAATCCTCCTTCACCATTCAGAATCACACCATTTCTTTCTCTCAAGCCCCAAAGAATTTAATCCGTAAGCAAACTGCATCAATAGGTCAAAATGGTGGTGACACAATCAGTAATTCCAAGTTTTTTGTGTAGAAAAAATTATAATTAAAAGAATCTCAGATTTCTACATATCTCTTAACAAATATATACTTGCTTATGTAGACACAAAATAATTCTGGAAGGATGTAATATACTGATTACCTCAGAAGTGAGAGAGAAATATAACAACACCCTATCATTTCAGGTAGCTTTTGAACTTTGAATATGCAAACGCAGGACCCATAACTATTGCCAAAGTCAACAATAACAATCAAACAAGGAACCTTAAGTTTATAAGTCACTTGTGTATGTTTGCATATACATATGTCACATCTGGCAAAGGTAAAACATCAAAAGTTGCCAGCAGTATTAAAAAAATGAGTAATTAACATTCTTGTGCAACAGATGGAAACACCAACATCATTAGTACAAAAAAAGTCTTAAATACAAAAACCTCAAATTTGTATTTTTACATTAAGAACATCATAGGGTATGCAGGTAACATGATGTAACTAGAAAAATATAAAGCTTTTTCCTCATCATCTGTAGACATGTTAAATATTTAGATTTGCATTCACAGCCTAAATAAAAATGTATAAATATAGCCAATTTTCAAGTTATGTATAACCAACCTTGAAAGCTTAAAAATATTCCTACGTATTGTGTTAAAAATTTCTTCATATTGAATACTTCCAGAATTAGAAACCAGGGTATGTACTTTTCCATTATTTAACTTATACATATGTAAACAGATTTCCATGGAATATTCACATACTAGATATGTTTCTGGTCTTCAAGTATATGCACTGTGAAGTCTGGACTGTGTACATAATGCCAAATAGTTTAAAAAAAAACAAACCAAAAATCCTCAGCTGATCATCTAGTTTCAAACACACAAGTTTTTATGGGTATTTTTTGGCTTTGTTTTGAGAAAAAATCAGACAAATATTTTGCTTTTGACCTAGGCAGTTGGTGTCACATGGATATAACTCAATTTCTTGGATATAATCAATACCAAAAAGTGTGCTAAATATCAAATTATCAATCCAAATCTATTTTAGTACCTTAGATTTAAGTTAAAAGAAATTGTCTTCTAGCACACTATAAATATTACTCTACAGAAAAACTAACATAATTAAAAATTCCAGTTGCTACAAGTTAACCTTATAACTTTATCAGTATTTGCTTCTAGAATCACTTTACTATAAGTTAAAAATTGCTCTATTTACCAGCCCTTGTTCAAACAGCTCTTTTTCTTCTATCGTCCACTTTACTGAGTAACTGGCTGGTTTTGTAGGAGACTGTACCCTAAGGGGAAAAAGAGTAATTGCAAAAAAATTTCTGAAATGGAACATTCCATATTTATGTAGTTAAAGGTTATTGACAGCCATTGGCTAAATTCAATACTTTTGAATCTAAGAATTAGAAAAAGAGAATGAAAGTTGCAGCCTCTATCTGGGAGGTGGGGGAGAATTACCATTAAGTATTCCAACTCAAGATATCTTTTTTTTTTTTTTTTTTTTTTGCAGAACTGGGAATTGAACTCAGGCCCTTGCGCTTGCCAGGGAAGCGCTTATTCCACTGAGCCATCTCCCCGGCCCCCTAACTCAAGATATCTTCACAGAACTTTGAAACATGTGGTCTATGGGACTGAGTACAAATAATACAGAAGACATCAAAGGAAACCAGTGTGACAGGCAAATATGTAGGCCCACTTAGACTGAACACAAAGCAGCAAGTGTGAACAAAAAATCCTAAATCCTTATAGGCATGTGAGTTTCAAATAATTTCAGATATATCTCTGGCTCTCGTGCAAGCCCACGTAAATATTAGGCCAGAAAAATAAAGAAACTATGGCATTAGACTTACTGCTTTTAAAATTCAGTATCTTAACAAATTTAACAAACCAATGAAGTTCACTAATTTATTTAAGCCATTAATCTTTCCATTAACTTCACTTCATTGCTTTTTAAATACAAAACAGAAATCCATCCTTCAACATGCATTTAAAAACACAAAATAATGTGTTTTTGTAATCATGAAGACAAACACCCCTCATTTAACAACCAAGTTCAATACCTAGAAATAGGTTATTAAATATATTGGTCATTAAATGAGAACTTGTATAGGAAATGCAATCGCAATCATCAAAACAAAGATACAGTCAACAGCAACTCCAACTAGATGACTTTGCTTTTATTTGCACAACTCTTACATGTGCTAATGTATAACAAAACATGAAACTACAGTGCTGTGTACCACAATCAGCAGAAACTACAGTACTGCATAAGCAAGATACACTGTACAAAAAGAGCACACTGAGGTGTTGTAAACAAGGCATGCAGACCTGTGCAAAAAGAAATGGGTCATAAATCTGACTGGCAGATTTTAAGTTCAAACACCATGCCTCAGTCCTAAATCCACACAGTTCTTGAACAGTCAGGTCATTAAATGAGACTATTTGTAATTAATTTGTCTAGGAAATTCTTGAAAGTCGAATTCAATTCATTTTTGTTCAAAATAATTTAAAATTACCTGACAGAATAATAAAAATCAAATCAATTTATACAATATTAAATACCTTCTTTAAAAACTTCCCTCTAAGATCTACAGGAGACCACCTTTTCCGTAGTTTGTAAATTGCTCAACAAGGTCATAAGAGAAATTCTGGCAAATAGCTGACACTAAAATTTTCACAATCCAACTTCTATGCAAAGACCTTTGTTTTTAAATTTTTTTATTTTTGAATTGAAGGCTTTTTCCTTCAGGACAACTACAACCTTAAAAAATTATCGAGTAATGTTAACCAATCAAAAAGGCTTTAAAAACATAAAACATAAGTACATAGAGGATTTATGCATTCTGCAGACTATAGCACATGAAAAAATAAGAAAGCCTGAAAAGAGTTTCCAAAATGCAGTTCAGACATTTAAGAGTGTAAATTGGTATTACCTGTTTAGGTATTTTTTATCATCCTTTTGATCAAGCCCAAATTTTCCTGGAAGAGATTTCTTAGATAAATAATACCTGGGCAACTATTAAGGAAACTTTTAAAATAATTAAAGTCATATGTGTGTCAGAGAATGAGCATTAAAGATTCATGAAAGCCAAACTTGTGAATTCAAATGAAACCAATTCCTTTCAAAGCCCTTCTCAGGTTTGCAAATATGATAAAAATGTTAATATCTCACAGGGTTGTTATATAGATTAATACATGTAAACTCTTACAACACAATACCTGTACAAAATGTGTGCTATATAAATGCAGCTTCTCTTCTCTTCCTATTAGAAGTGACTAAGAGAAGATATATCCTTAGTATTTAACACGTTGACAATTAGTAATTCAAGTCTTGCTACCACGTGGTTTATCATTTGAATTTGATCATTCCTGCTGGTTTGAACCACAAGTGGTACATGCTGGGTTCCTATCAGATATATTGGTACATACTGTCCCATTGGATGGCTTATATCTGCTGCTCTGGGAATCTTTGACTACAAACAATAATGCAAAGAAAAAGGTTGATTCAGTAGACCAGATATCATGGTCCTTTAAGGAAAACATTACAATGGCATAAAAAATTCTAATACAGGTAATTTGGGGTAAAACAGTTGTAAATGCAAATTACATTAATCAGCAATGGGGTATTTATGAGATTTCCATGTTAAAATTTAGATAATTACTGACAAACTGTTCACAAATATATATATATATATATAAAATATATATATATATATATATATATATATATATATACTTTTCATGGCTTGCTCAGCCCACCCTGGGGGTGGGACTGGTGTGGCATGTGGTGCCAGGGATCGAACTGCGGTCCCTGTGTGCTTGCCTAAGCAGGCGCTTTAGACCACTGAGCTATCTTGATGGCCCCTAAATGTATTGTGTTTTGTTTGTCTGTTTTTGGTATCAGGGATTGAACTCAGGACCTTGTGCTTGCCAGGCAGGCGGCTTAAGTCACTGAGCTATCCTCCCAGTCCCACAAATATAGTTTTTAGTTATACGAAATGAATTTGTTGCTTATTGTAATAATTTTTAATTGGTATGAATAGTATTTATATTTGGGTAGTAAGTATTTAAATTCAAGTAACTAGATTTAGTCCACTTATAGACTTTTCATTAAATTGTTAAAGACCAATGAAGGTGACTAGATCCACCTGTACCACCAGTGGGCCAGTCATGCATGTACCACTCATGATTTAAGCCAGTAGGTATATGTTAAATCTCTCTTAAAATATACAAGAACATAAAAGATGAATTTGATTGGCTGTCTAAACTAATTTGGGATATTTACTTCCATATTTCTAAAGGTAATAGAGAAGAGTTCTGGAATACTCTTTACACTATTAAAAATAAAGAACATTTAGATCAAATCTACCAAGGAGTTTCCTTTCAAGATCCTTGAAACTAGTCTCCTGCAGTATTGAAGATAGTCATTTAACAAGTGTCTGCTCACTGTATCAGGTTTTATGCTAGGTACTAAAAACAACAAAAACAGATACTATATACATTACACCTGTCCTCTAATAACCTGTAACTCTTATTATTTGCTTCTATATTTGGAAAGGAACAAGTTCTTGTTTTAAGTGTTCATTAATTTAGAATTGCACTGTCCATTCAGTAACCACCAGTACTAACCACAGTATGACTTCTGAACACTTGAAAAGTTAGCAGGAACTGAGGTGTAATGGAAAAATAAAATACACATTAGATCTCAAAGACTTAATATAAAACAAAATGAAAACATGCCACCAGTAATATTTCCATATAAATTCAAAATATATTGTTTTTGATGGGGTCTCTCTGTAATTCTGGCTCGTCTTGAGCTCACTATGGGGGCCAGGCTAGCCTCAACCTCAGGGTGACCCTTCTGTCTCAGGCTCCCAAGTCCTGGGATTAGAGGCATGCCTGGGTAAAGTATTTTAAGTTATTAAAATTAAATATATATAAACAGATGTATTAACAAAATGAATTCTATCTATTTTGCTTTTAAATGAGACCACTAGGACATTTTAAATTACATGTACCTCCCACTGAAAAGCAGTAATTTAGGCTATAACTCCAACATCTAGGGAGAATTAGTGAATAGGAAAGCCTGAGAGGCTTGCCTTTGGTAACTAAAGGACCAGAGAGATATTAAGAGCAACAAAGCAATAAATACAAAAGAAGAAAAAACAAATTCCTTCTAATAAATAGTAAGAAGTCGGATTGGTGAGATAGCTCAATGGACTAAGCACCCGCTTTGGCAAGCGCAGGGACCAGGGTTCAATACCAGGTCCTGCATGCCCTGCTGGACCCACCCCTGGGGCATGCTAAGCTGGCGACAGACTGAGTCAGGGCATGGTGGTGCATGCCTATAATCCCAGCACTGGGGAGGCTGAAAACAGGAGGATCACTAGGGGTTTGAGCTGCATAGCAAGACCCTGTACCAAATACATATATGAAAAAAAAAAAAAAAAGTAGTGAGAAGTCCAAGAAGTGCAGATAAAAGAATTAAAAATAAACCAGTATTTTTAGACTATTATTTAACCTCTATAACTCATATGATTAGAAACTGTTTTGTTCAACACTCTCATTTTTATATAGGAGAAACTAGAGATAAAAAATGAGGAAGAAGCCACAGGTTGGACCTTGTTAATAAGGATCCAAAAGTTGTGGAGGAAAAAAATACCCTACAGAAGAATTTGTTTTGTGCTGTTAGCTTAGGATTTCTTCTACATAACATACATACCTATAAATTATAGGGTAAAAAGTAACAACTTCTACATACTCTACTTGTGTGGCCTTGAATAAAGATCTCTGATCTTCAACTTGTGTAACTGAAAATGCAAGCTTTAAACTTCTAATTTAAATATTCTACAATTTCTACTCATAGTCACATATTGTAATCGAGTCAGATCTCAGACCCAGCAGTAAAACATAACCAAGGAATAAAATGCTTTCTGTATAGGTAAGTGACATGCTACAATGCAGCCAGCTAGAGCTAAGTAACATCAATTTATGATTACAGTGGCCTCTTCTGCAATTTTTGCATGGACAGATTTTTAACCCTGAAATCTTTTTATGCATTTCTATTCATACATATTTGCCACACATAATGATCACATTCATCATAAGGAATCTGTACCCATACATCTTTTGTTTTCCCATTCCCATCTGTCCCTTCAATCCTTCTTCCCTGTCATATTTATCAAAGCTTTGTTTCCATTTTTTTCTTTCTTTTTAAAAATCATTTTTCCCTTCCTCCTCTCCCCACTCCGTTTCCCTTCCCATTTGAACATAATCTTCCTATTTCTCAGTATCTGTTCTCCATTTTGCTCCTTATTTCTCCACAAGGTTTCTCACACAAGAGAAACAATGTGATATTTAAACTAGTGTCTTATTAATTTCACTTAAAATTATTTACCCTGAAAATTTTACTTTCCTCATAAATAAAGGATACTCTTCCTCCAATAACATTTTCTCAATGACAGCTCTGTTCTCGTCACTGATGGTGTTATCAAGAGTCCAAGGCTATTAAAAAAAAAATTTACATATAATTAGTTTTTGTAAATAGAAAATAATACTATGATTACAAATAAGCACAGCTACTATGTACTAAGCACACAAATGTATCTTTGATTCTCATGGTAATACCATGGGATAGGTGGTAACACTTCACAAATGCACCTATACCACTACTTGTACTTCAAGTGGAAAAGAGATTTTACAACCATTAAGATTCCAAGGCTTACACTCTCACTTATGATGGGTAATAATGGCTATCACGTATGAGGAATTATTAGACAGCATGCATTTGCTAGGCAAACTATTTCCAAAACTCCTAATTATTCTATCAGCCACAATCTCTTGTGGATCATTATCATTTTCAATTCTCAAAGTAAAAAATGTTCGACTTATGACTCTTCTCCAAGGTTCAGACTGGTATAACAACTGCTCACTAAAGATTTCCACCTGGCTTCTCAAGACTTAACATAGTCAAGAGTTCACCATCATACATACAACCTGCTTTCCCCCCTACATTTCCAATAGTGTAAAAGGCAGTTACTCATTTAAAAAGTAAGGAATCACTATTATGGGTTCGTCTTCCCTCGATCTCTACACGCAATCTACCAACCATTTCTAACTCCAAAATATAATCATATCTATCCACTTCTATTTCTTCCACTACCCAGGATCAAGTGGCCTTCATCAGATCTTCTTAGATGACTGGAAATGTTTCTTTCCTAACTAGTTCCTTGGACATCCTTTTTGCTTCCTTCTAATTTTCACCACAGCACTCAAAGTAAATTTTATAAAAAATGGACTGACTTATCTGCATACAATCTATATAAAATGACTTGTCTCAGTTCATTTACAGAATTAAACCCTTTAGTATGATTTAATCCCACAAATCCTATATGATGGAGCTCTCTCCTGTCCTACCCCTGTCACACCTGTGCCAAACAAAATATTCTAGGTATGGAATATATCTCTCAACTATACCTTTTGCATTAGCTGGAATTCTTTACTCTGTATCTACCTACTCTCATTACTTTCCAACTTAAATATCCCTTCAGAGTGTCTTTCATCGATAACTTGATCTCAAGTAATCTCCCTCCCCGATACACTGATTTGCTAATTTCCTTCACAATCTACAACTGTTTGTCTACTTGTTTATCATCGGACATTCCTTTGAAATATAAGCTCCCTCAAAGCATGACCACATCTGTCGTATATACTCCCCAAACCTGGCCCAAGGTATGGCACACAGGGAATGTTCAGTAAGTAGCTGCAAAACCAAAGAAATGAGCCCTGCGATGATCCCTATTTTCTCACTTGAAGCAACAAAGTTTCACAAAGGTTTTTACCTAGTTGTAGGCTCCAAAGTTGCTTTTCAACAAGTCATTTTTCAAAGTCAAAAGAAAAAAGGTTTCTTCTATTTTTAAAGTTCGAAAACAGTTTTACCTATTACCTCTGTGATTTTTGAGGACTAGCATCCAGTTATAAAAAGGCAAGAGGTGCAATGGGCAATGAGCCAGCTGAAGTCAGGTGGCAGTTCATAAGATACTTACAATAAGGCCGTTCGCACTTCTCCACGATGAATCAAGATAGTGATCTTGTTGTAAAACTGATGCTGCACTTCTGTAATTAAGAAAATGTGTATAAAAATGGTATTACTATACCATGAGTCACTGGCTACAATGCACACAGGACAGCGGCAGGTGCTAAGTAAAAAGTTTCCTTCTCCCCACAGCACCCATTTAACACTGCGGCATGGCTCCTCTACCTTTGACGCATAAGAAAATTTTATTTAAACTCAGCTACTACAGTGTTCTGTAGCCATGAGCCAACATATGAATATAAAAATTCAACTCTTAAATTAAAATTTTTAGCTATATTTAAACAAATAAAAAACCACTATCTTCAGCATCATCCTTAAAGAAAAAAAACTGAGGTGGAAGAACCAAACTCAAAAATAGCAGTTGTTCTATTTTGTTTTGTTTGAGACAGGGTCTCATTATGCAATTTAGGCTGGCCTTAAACTCATTATGTAACCCAGGCTGGCCCTGAACATGCAGCAATCCTCTTGCATTAGCTTCTCAAGTGCTACCATTTCAGGCATGTGCCACCACGTCCAGCTGCATTAGTTTTATTAACAATTCACATAACTTGAAAAAAAAATAACAGGTTATTTAGAGGATTTCTATGTATGTATACAGGGCATCGAACTTTTGTTAACCCTCTTTTCTTTCACTGAACCAGTAAGTCTCAATGTGTACCTTGTGTGTTCGGGGATCTAAGCTTTGAGACAATTAAAATAAATATTTTGGTTTTGAATGTTTTACCTTAACTTCCTAGTTAAATTTTTTTCCCATACCTCACCTAGTGACAAAAACTTTGTATTGCTACAACTGCAAAAACCTATCAACAGATTTATACATCTGAATTTTTAATTAGTCCTATGGAAGTTACAGTAGATTGAGACTATTAGAGCTTGTATCTAGATGTCCCTCTAAAGTCTCATGCAGTCATAGATGGGGCTTTTTGGATGAGTTTGGATCTAGGGTAAGTGAAAGGCTATGTGATTACTAAATTAGATCAATGATTGGTTTAGCATAGTTCTGGGTGTGGATAATGGGAAGGCTTACCCTGAGCAACCCGAGAGGCAGGTAGACTGGAAGAGATAAAAGGGAGAGGAAGACTGCTACTGCTTTTGCTGCTGCTATATGCTGCTCCTTTGCTAGTTGGCTGTCTTCTGCCTGCCAGGAACTGTTTCTCCTCTGTAATGCCCCATCTGCCACACCAGCCTGCTTTAGAGCCAATCAACTACAGACTAAAACTTCTTTAAACTGTGAGCCAACATAAACCTTTATTGTGTCTCACAATCAGAAAAGTAACTAAGACTGGGACTATTCTTTTCTACAATAAATTAAGAGCAGTAGTTTCTATCAACTATTGATAGTAAACAGTTGTTCAACTCAAGAGTCAACACTGAGTTACTCAAAAAACTCGGGTCTGCCCTGAGGGCAGGAGATGCCCCGAGGGCAGGAGATGAGACTATCTTCAAGTTTACTGCAGCAATCTTTTTGCATAGTATTCCTTAACAAGAATTAGCAACATCAATACCCTGTTGTACACATATAGATATCTACCTGAATTTCCACAGGAATCACAAATTAACTTAAGTCTAAAATCACATTCCCTCCCAAATTTGCTGCTACTCCTGCCGTGCCCTACCTCAATGGCAGTCCTTCCCTGAGTCCCACAATTTCAGACCTCATAGCTTTCGTGGTGGACTATAAGAGATAAACTGATAAGCCAGTCATCTTCTTTCCTTTGTTTTTCTCCACTTACCTTCATCTGACAAGTAATTGTCTCATCCAACAAGAATATTAGCTTTGTGAGATCAGTGTTGGTCTTTATACCTCCTACCTTAGTACCTGGTGAATGGCTAAATAATAATGTACTTGAGACAAAGGTCATACAGGTCTCTACTAGTTAGGGAGTATAGATGTCAACACAAAACCAACTGGGATTGAATGGAACAACATGATCAATTTGGATGTAAGAAAGACCATTATAACTTCAAGAAAGAAGAAACTCAAAGAGAGCAGGTGAGATAACAGCGGACCAAGCACTTGCTTAGGCAAGTGCAGGGACCAAGGTTCCAGCATACCATGCCAGCCCCACCCCAGGGCACACTGAGCCAGCCAAGGATTAAAGGTGTGGTAGTGCACACCTTTAATTCCAATGCTGGGGAGGCTGAAAACAGGAGGATCACTAACAGTCCAAACTGTGTAGTGAGGCCCTGTACCAAATATATTTTTAAAAAAGGCAAAAGAAACAAACAGTAAGCAATAAAAAGGTAGTGAGTATAAAAAAATACTTCGAGGTAGTAGCTTACCTGTAAAAAACAATGCCTGTGAACAGGAAGAGTGAATACATTTAAAAAAAATTTATACAGAATGAACAGGCTCTAATAAATGGTATGATAGAAAGAACGAAAGGCACTAAGGGAAAAAAGGAATATGGTCTAATTCTATGTCTTGGGTGACTGGTGGACTTTCTTAAAAAGGAGATTTAATTTGGCTCAGACTCAGTGTCAGCGCCGCTTGTGGAAAATCAGGTTTCATGGGAAAAGTTTTGTAAGACAGGTGTTTATGGGACCTGTAACTGCTGATAGCTCCAGAGTTGAGTAAATGAATCAGAAGCTCAGGATAAAGATTTGAACTAGTGACAGATCTGGAAATACCAGCATGTGTTAGGTTGTACTTACAAAACTTCCATTTTTGTAGGGTAAATATATTAGAACATTGGCAAAATTGTATATGGCTCAACCTAACAGAAATTAAGTCTTGAGATACGGCAGGTATCACCAAGAACTGTAGCATCTGTGAGAAGTCTTTTAACAAAACCCTTTGAATGTCATGAACAAGTAAAAGAAAACAAAGGTAAGAAGGGTAAAAGTAGAAAGCAAATCAAAATGCTATGTTTAAGCTCTATAACTAGCACTTAGCAAATGCTCAAAGGTGTATTAATCCCCAAGGGTTCCTCATATACTACCATCAGTTGTTCATGGCATACTACACAGTACTTTGGTTATGTCACAAGACTGGAGCTCTAGTACCCTGGAGCACCATCACTAAACTAAGGTTAATGATACTCCTTGGAACCAACCTTTAATCTTGCATGGATTATACACTATCACTAAAGCTCAAGAAAACAGGGAGAAAAAGGAAAAAAATTCAATCAGAAAAGTTCAAATTAACCTTTGTATGAGGCATAACACCAATGACCCCGGACGATGGTGTCTCCAAGGCTAATTCATTTCTTTTTGGTCTTTGGTTAAGTTCCTTGCCCACTTAAATCAAGCATACAAAATCATTTGACCAAGACTGAAATACTACAAAACATGGACAATTATTAGTAAAAGTTCTCGCAGTTAATATTCACAGCTTTCAACTGCTTTGTCTAAAAATATGAGGGAAAACGACATGTGTTTACCGCTCACATTTTTAGAGTGCTTTATTTAGGGTTCACCACTTTTAAATTCCAGGTTACTTAATCCCTTTAGGGCAACGATGAGGTTCTTCTCACTTAAGAGTCCGTGATATTAGGTTGGACTACATGAAACTGCCACTTTATTAAAAAAAGGTCCAATATTGGTAACTTCACGTGGTTCAACCTAGTAACAGTTCTACCAAAGTTACTGACAATTAAACATAACATAGCTGACTGCATTTAGAACTCAGATCTTGCTTCTGATCCCTCACATCATCCCTGAGGATTACAAACCACACATACATAGAGCATCTACAAAACGTTACACTGCCTTTCACCATTCTTTCATTTGACGGTCAATCCTGGGAGTACATGACTCTCAGTATCTGCGAATCTGTCTTGCACAAAGCCACACCGCTAGGGCCTACAACTGCAGAAGAAAACGTCCCCTTCAAAGAACTCCGACTCCGAAACCGGGCGTCTTTCCCCTAAGCGGTGCTACCTCTCCGCAAAGTTTTTCACAACTACCGCTGTAGGTGAGAAGGCGCGAAGCGATGCGTCCGAGGCTGCGCGGCGGGCAAGGGAAGGCTCCCTCGCTCCAGTGAGTTCAGGCTGGTCCTGCAGTACTCTACAGGAAATGAAGTAGGCTCCGAACTGCTGGAGCGAGGGCCACGCGCAGAGAGAAGGCGGGCCCGGCAGCGCAGCGCGACAAGCGCGAGCGCGTCCGGGCCGAAGCCGGTCGGCGCCGGAAAGCGCGAGCCCACGGCGCGGAAGCTTCCGGGGCGGCGGGGACGGGGCCCGCGGACCGCCCTCTGCTTCCCGGTCCCTTCTCGGGCCCGACTCCTTTTCCCGGGCCTTCGCTTCGCATCCGCGACTCTCCCCGCCTGGCGACACCCAGTGTCCAGGCCTCACCCCGGCTGTGGAGCGGCCGCCGCCACGTCCCCTTCAACATCCACATCCGTCTCTTCTGTCGCCATGATCGCGCCTGACCCTGCCTGCCCTCCCTTCAGATCCCGCGAGAGGTTGCGGCCGGGGGCGGGGCCTGACGCAACAGGGCGGGGCTTCCAGAAGAAGCGCTGCAGGGAGCCCGCAAAGCCCGGCGCTGGGCTTCTCAAGGCCTTGATCCTGCCTTCTCCTTTCGCTCCAGTGTAAAATAGGGTGGTGGGACAAACCCTTATAGATTGATGATAAAAGCTGAAGTTGATGAGTGCACCCCGAAAGTGAACTGGGAGAGATCTTTAGTAAGCCTTTCTCCAAAGAGGGTCATTTACCAATTATGTAAAGTGCAAAACGACTTACAGTTCAACAGTCAGTGTATACATAATGTATAATTCATGATCGTATGATTATTATAGAGATCTTTATGATTTAAAGTTACTCAGGACCATTCACCTTTACACTAACATCCTGAGGTAAACAGGGCTAATAGCAGTGCATATGGAGAAACTTGAGCTGTGACCAATAAAGGTGACTGTCAACTTGGCAAATTAAGAGATGCCCAGCAGATTACAAGGCACACTTCTATATGTGTCTTCGGGGTGTTTCCAGAGAAGGTGAGCCTGCCACTCAGCAGGCTTAGGGGGAAGACGCCAACCAATAGACTACAAGCCACGGTTGAAAGAAAAGGGAAGGAGGAGGAAGTCGGCCTGCACTTGCAAAGCTCCTTTCTACTGAGGCTGCTGCCTCTCTTGCTACTACCTTGGTCTGTGGACACCAGGCTCCAGCTTCTTCAGGATTTCAAAACGACTAGCCTACAACTCTCCAGGGAGCTTCCAGGCCTTCAGTCTTGGGCTAGCGCTGCATGCTTGATCCCTCTCACTCTGAGGCTTCCAGTTCCTTGAACTGGACACTACCAGATCCTCTGCTCTCTCCTCTGGATGGGGTGGAGACAGCCATTGTGGACTTTCCTGCCTCTGATCCAATAAGTCTACTACTCTAACCAATGCACAGAGCTGTCTGACTCTTTACCAAGTTATCACACATACAAACACTATTTTTAGGAGCGTGAAGAATAAACATTATTAGGGGCTGGGAGATGGCTCAGTGGAATAAGCGCTTCCCTGGCAAGCGCAAGGACCTGAGTTCAGTCCCCGGTTCCGCAAAAAAAAAAAAAAAAAAGAATAAACATTATTTCTACCAAATAATTTAAGACTTTTCAAGATACAGTACTGCACATTACCCTTATGCATTCCTCTACATTTGTTCTGCATTCCATATATCTAATAAATGTTCCTCTACATCTTAGTAACTATTGTTGATGAGAAAAAGTAAGTAGCACCCACAAGTGAAAAGAACGATTTATTTCACCTTACAGTTTTTAGAGGTTTCAGTTCATAGTCTGCTGGCTCCAAGGCTCAGAAGTATGACTGAGAGGCATCAGGGAGGAAAAACAACTTATAACAAGGCAGACATAAAGCACTGAAGCACCAAGCAGCAGCAGAAAGGCTGCCCTCTATCGGGCCCTTTCTACTCCACCTAAGTTCCAAGGCTATTGATTGTTGACACCCATGTCCAGGGTAGGGCTTCCATTATCCACACCCTTTGTCCCACATCATGCCCCAATCCACAGTAACACACCTTCATCCAGTCACCTTTTTAAAATTTAATTAATTTATTTTTTCCATAATTTTATTGAGAAACAAATAGCAGTAAGACAGTTTCAAACCAAACTGATAGGACAGTTTCAATAATTAACACATTACATACATTCTTCCTAGTGGTTAATTGCTGTACAAGATGTGGACATGATATTCTATTTACAAACACCATTAGAACAAATCCCTCTATTGATTAAGAGAATGTAACTATATATCTATCCCAACCACTTTGAATACACAGATGCAAAATGGACATTCATCTGTATCCCCTTTTTTTGTTAAGTTCCATTATTTGAACATCCAGTCACCTTTGAAACTCCCCACCTAAAGCACATAAGGCTTTGGGGGAGCATCTGGGTACACACAATAACAGTGTCTCATATTGTCGTAATGGATGGTTCACTTCCTGCCTTCCCCACTGGACTGTCAGCACAAAGACTGTCACCATCCAGCACGGTGCCTGGTGGGTAGTCAGTGTTCAATGCATACTGAACCGGTGAATGAATGAATAAATCAGCAATATGTGCTCACTTCCCACACGATTCTTAACTTATCTCGTCTCACCTTGGTTCCTAAGGCCTGCAACTGTGATGGCAGAAAATGGAGACAAAAACTTGCAAAGAGGGAGAGCCCAGTGCTCAGGCCACCGTGGTGGCACACTTCTGATGTCAAAAGGAGTGGCCAGCTACCGGTGGCAATGAAAACATCAAGCCTGACGGAGTAGCATTTTTGTTTTGTTTTTCAACGTTATTTTTTCAAATGTTCATTAGCACATATTTGCCGTACATGATGATCGCGTTCTTAGAGGCAATTTGTACCTGTAACTAATGTCTTCTTTCTTCCTTTCATCCCATCTCCCTACCCTCCTTTCAACCTTTCTTTGTCTCTTCATTTACAAAAGCTTTGTTTGCATTTTATCCCTTCTATTCTTTGTGTGTGTGTGTGTGTGTGTGTGTGTGTGTGTGTGTATTTAGGGAATGGTCTACAGGGTTTCAGGGTCTCACTACTAGATTGGACGCGTAGTGATCCACCCATTTATAGTCCCCCAAAACCTGGGATCACAGGCACGCGCCACCACGCCCAGTCTCAACTGCCATCTCAGTGTATCCCCAGGGCGGGACCGGCCCAGGGATTGAACCCCAGCCCCTGCACCTGCTTGCAGGCATTTTAATCTGCTGAGCTACTTGGCCGGCCCTCACCCCTTCTATTCTTGCTTTTATAGTTTCCCTTCCTTGTCTACTGCTTTCCCCTCCCTTGCTCGCCTTCCCATTTCTGCGTATACTTCTTACTTCCCAATATATATCCTCCATTTTGTTTACTTACCCTTTGAATTCCTCACACAAGACAATGTGATATTTAAACTTATGTGTCTAACTTATTTCACTTAACTTTATGGCCTCAAGATGCATGCATTTACCTACAAATGACTCAAGTTTATCTTAATGGCTCAGCGGTACTCTATTGTCTAAAAATACTACATTTTCTTTATTCATGCATCTGTTGATGGGAATATGGGCTGTTTTCAAGCTTAGCTATAGTGCTGCTATAAACATGAGTATACATTTATCACTGTGGTATGATGCTTTAAACTCTTTTGGGAAGGTACCTAGAAGGTGGGTGTATGGTTGATACATTGTGTCAACTTGAGAAGTTTAACTGTTTAATTAAGTGACTCAGTGGGGAGCCAGGTTCTTACATTGTAAACACCCTCATTCTGTGCAAGAGGCCAGCTTGGACGTTGTGTGAGTTCTACACCCCTGCCCCAGGGCAGCCTGCCCTGCTTATAATATAAGGAAGGGAGAGAGGCTTGCTACAAGCCACAGCTGCTGCTCCTCCCTTTGCTCTTTGCTATTGTCTGCAGCCATAAACTACTGCCCTCTGCCATGTGCCACTCTGCCTTAGAGCCAGCCAAGTATGGACTGAAGCCTCCACAAACTAAGCTAAATAAACATTTCCTTGTTTAATTCTGGGTGTTGGGTATTTTGTTCCAACAACAACAGAAAGATACATGAGACAGTGGGTCAAATGGAATCTCTAGTTTTAGTTTTTTGAGAAATCTCCATACTGATTTCTATAGTGGTTATACCAATTTATACTCCCACCAGTCATAGAGGAGAGTTCCTTTCTTCACAGCTTCTTTAGCATCTGTTATTGGCTGATTTCTTGATAATAGGCATTCTTTCTGGAATGAGATGGAATCCTAGTATTGTTTTAATTTGCATTTCTCAAATGACCAGTGATGTTGACCATATTTTTGTATATTTATTTCCCACTTGTATTTTTTCATCTGAGAAGTGTCTATGCATTTCAGATGCCCATTTTGGATTGGGTCTTTAAATTTGGGGAATCTGATTTTTTTAAAAAGTTCTTTATATATTCCAGATGTTAGTCCTTTGTCTGAAGGGAAACCGGTAAAAAAATTTTTTTCCATTCTGTGGGTTGTCTCTTCACCCTGTTAGTATTTCTTTTTTGATGTGGAAAAGCTTTTCAGTTAGATTTGATCCCAGATGATGACAGGAGTACTCCTGTGCAGTCAGGGATTTCTTACCCAGTCACTTTGGGAGTATAACCCTGGGAGCCCCCTGGATGAAGCAAACTTGCTGCTGCTCTGAATCCTAGTTTCAGTTGGCCCCTCCCTAAACTGGTGTCCAACCAGGCATCCTCTTTAGGAGCTATTCCAAACACTTGGCCCGGAGTCATGCACCAGCTGTTATAGTGCATGGCATGCTCTGCTCCATTCCATGGATGCATTTCTCCCGGAAAGCCCCTGAAGTCACCTGCTTTCACTGTGGATTCCATCTTCCTTTGTCTCACCAGCAGCCAGGAGCTGGGAAGAAAGGACAGATTACCCCTTCCATTTTCTGCATTTTGGTTTGACTCTTCAATTTCTCCATAGTCTCCAGTTTCCCTTAAGACACTTCCTGAGTCCCAAGGATCATCTTCCTTCTTCTTTTCTCCCCCCACCCCCATTGTTATTTTCCAGTGTCTGGTTTCCAAATCTTGGAGAGGCTGACATATTGCTGTTTAGTGCTCCACCATCTCCCAGGTATCTCTTAGAGCAGCATTTTATGATGCCTGTTGAGTTGAAAGGCTATGGATTTCCCTGAGCTTTACACAGAAGAAAGGGATAGTGCTCTGACAGGACTACCTGCATGTAAATCATCATACATGAGAATGGCACCTCCTAGAGCTTAGCACAGATACTGTGGGAGTGGCATCTCTTGAAACACAGGACTGAGGCTCTTCTGGTCCAGAGCCAGACACAAGTAGGCACTAAAATATGTCTTAGAGGAAGGAAAGCCTTGTACAAAATTCAGGGAGGACCCAGGTCAACTCAATGTCTCCCTCCTGCGAGGTGTAAGGTTGAAGCTTCCCATACA